AAAAATTTTGATTTTTTATATACTAAATTGAGTATGCACATTTATTCACCTAATAAAAACTAACAAAGGAACGATTTCTAAATTGAAATTACTGCATTTTTGGCTTAGTTATGAACTTTTTAAATTTTGATTTGTTAATAAAGTCTTCAAATAAAAATATCAATATCAATATCATATTGATTGAAACAGTACGAATTTTAAGCTTAGTTATGATTAATTTTCGAGTCGATCTAGCCAATTCCGTCAGTTCGTTTCTATATAAACTTTTCTCTAATTTTTAAATCATCTATATTTCTTTCTATTCCTATGTGCTTAATATTAAGAAATCTTTTAATATTTAAAATATATATTTCTGTGCAAACTCCTTTGGTAATCTTGGATTTTTTTGAAGCCTTGGCCATAAAACTTGAATCACTTTAAATGCGACATCGCAACCTTGTGTGGCTTAGGGTTTTGACTGGCAAAATCGAAGGCTTTCTGCTCATTGTTAATTGCCATTAATTTAATATTATTTTTTTATTTTGTTGTGTTTTTTTATATATGTATTATCTTTAAGCTTGGGCTTAAGCCCCCTGGAAAAGTGAGTCACAAAGCGCGGAATAAGGGGAATTTGGGTGTGGTTAAATTAACTCAAATGGTTTGTGCCCGAATCGCGCAATTGCAAAACAAATAAAGGCAATGCGGCAAAGCCCCTCTGTGCGAATAATGTGCGAGTGTAAATTGAGCATTTAAATGAAACGAGACCGCAACGGATTCGTGGATATATAAACCATATAGACATCAGAGGAGTGTGTGTGTGTATGTATATATTTCTTCAATGAAGTATGCGCTGCGAATATTTAATTGCATAATGTGACCAGACTGACACACTATTATATGCGTTAATAATCACCGTCGAATGTAGCATCATCATCATCATTATCATCATTAAAGTGTGACCATTAAGTGCAGTCAGGTTTGATTTATATACAAGTTAAAATGTGTTCAAAAACTATAAGCATTAATTATTTATAATTGTATTAATTTCGAATTGATTTACTAGGGTTTTGTGGTAATATCTCATACACGTTTATATTTTTAAAAGGATTTCTCTATAAATACATATCTCTGTAAATTGAGAATTCTCCCCTAAACTTTCTCAATCTTTGTACGCAATTTTGTTGTTTTGAGGAAATGTGAGGCAGCACTGCCTTCACACCATCATCATCATCATTATGTTGGCTAATGACTAATGGGCCTTGGTAGTCGTCGACGAGCATCATGTAATGGCCAAATAGACAGAAAAAAAAAAGAAAAGAAAACGGCAGTAACAGACGCACAACAGACCACTCGAAAAAGCGAAATGAGAAATAAAAAAACAGAAAAACAAGAAGCTCAACTGAACAACAGAGAGAAAAAAAGAGAAATATTCAATTATGCAAGCGAGTTACAGTTAGGCGCCCACAAAAAAAAAATTCAAAAAAAAGTAAGGGGGGTAAATCGGGCTATAGCCGCTTTTGGTAGATCTGCTGCTGGCCAACATTTCATTTTGATTTCATTTTTACCACACTTTTACCCCTGCTACTCCCTGCATTTTCCACTCCCAAAGAGTTGTAAATAAAGCGAAAGCGCAACGTGTATTGCAAAAATGAATTGTTTTTTATAGTAAACATTCTATAAAGTGAGTTTTTATCAAGTTTTTCTAAAATTTTAAATAAATCGAGCAAGTAAAAGGATTTAATCAATCTAAAATAAACTAAATAAAGAAAATGAGAGAAAATATAGAGATTTTCATTTATCTATACTCATCTATTCATCAATATTTATTCCTTCCCATTTGCAATTAATTTCAAATAGATAAATTTGTATTTCTAGAATATTATTTAATATATATTCCAAGAAAATTTAATGAACTGCAAAAATTCTCAATGATTTTCCGAGACAAAATATATCCTTCTACCCTTTTTAAAACATGTTGACTTGCTTTCAAATCGATACATTTTTATTTCTATAAAACTTCGCTTTTTTATGGCATCCACTGTACTTTACGTGTTGTGAAAATATTGCAATTGAGCCGCCGCCTGGGCGGGTATAAATAATAAATAATTGATTGTTGGACTGATTGATTGAGTGAGTGACGACAGTAATTGGCAAACTCCATTCCAAATGCATGAGTGGAAGCAGGTGAAAAGGTGGGGAGATAGCGTTAAGTGCTCTCTTTAACAGAGAGAAAAAAGTAGGCTGTCAAATCAAACAGGTTGACAATGCTTTTTGTTAAATGGACCGGAGTGGGGGCCAGGGAGGAGAGTCTGGCGGGGAATGTGTGTAAATCGGTTTTCCACTGTCCAGCAATTGCAGTGGAGTTAAGTTTGCATGCGACGTTGGGTTTTCGCACGTTCCACTGGTTTATGCGTCCTTGGGAAAATGCATTCAGCTTGAGAAAATTCCAAATGCAAATAAAAATAGATGAGAAAAAATATTATAAAAATATACATATATAAAACAAGCAAACTACGTGAAGTTATGAGGTTCAAGTCTCTGCAAATATAGTACACATTAATTGTGCCAATGCTATATAAATATAAATTATAAAATTGATATTTCATACTTTTTCAATATTATTATATTAGTTTCTGTATTAGTTATGGAATTTGTTCCTTTTAACATACTCTCCAAGTTAATGGAAAAACTTGACCTTTTTATTGGAGAAAACTAACCGCAAAAAAGTCATAAAGTTTGGCTGACACTTTACGAAATGTCGTCACGCATAAACTTGGCTGAATTACGCTTTTTATTTGCCAAAGCCAAAGGCATCAATCAAGCCAACAAGTTGAGGAACTTTATTTTTTCCGCTTCCCGACGCCATTTTGTTGAACGCCATTTTGACACGATTTGTCTGTGTGTTAGCCTGTGGCTATGTGTGTGTGTGTCCGTTAAAACGCTTTCAGTTTGATGGTCAACTTACTTGCTTTTTACGAGGTAATCCCTGGGAAAGTTTGAGAGTATATTCGATTGTATAAAATATAGTAAATAAAGTAAATATATACTACAGTTTATTAGTTGAATAACATATAGAGAGAGCCTTGTTCGCTTGTCCGTTTGTCCGTCAGCTTATTTTGAAGAGTTGTATCTCTTTGCCTAGAAACGTAAATTTTCAGACTAAATAAAATAGTACTTTTAATCATATAATTAAAACTGTACCTTCAAAAACAAATTACTTTTATTAAAAGGATTCTAAAAAGTATGCAATAAATGTACTTACCAGGTATCCCATAGTCGAGTCCTTGCTGTTCTTACTTCTTATAGTTCTTTTATTTTTATGATTTTCCTGTGCGGCCATTTAAACACATTTGAAAACATTTGAATTGCCACGCCCCCTGGCCCAATGGAAGGGAATGAAATTGCTGCCAAATGAAATTACAGAAGTTAGAAACTAAAATGCGCTGCCCAGAAGAAATTGATAGTTTCGGCCCAAATTGAGGATAACCATGGACTTTGTTGATTTGCGTTTCCATTTCCCTAATTGAGCGTTAAAATTGATGGGTTTGAAAAGCGTTTCCGGTAATAACTGTCATCATAACGATGACTTTTGAGACAGTTGGAGGAGCTGTAATGTAATGGAGTCAAGGGAAATAATACTATAACTACTATGACAAGTGAAGTTTAATTTCTAGAGTTTCTAGGGTGCTTTGCCGGGGTTTTATGTGGTTTTTTACCATACAATTTAATTTTTAGCAAAGTACTATTTTCCCTTATTGAAAACACTTTAAAACCACATCAATTTGTTCTCTTTCCCCACATTGAATCGCATTCCATGACATTCCCTTGCAGTATTTGGCCTATAGCTCTTCATTATAATATTTCAAGTCTAGATTTAAGCCAGAAATCTCCATTGCCGGCGACTGCATTTCCGTCATTTTAATCCTTTAATGTGCCAGGGCTTATTCTCCGTCTGCCAGCCGTCGGAATATGTGTGGCATCATCTGTGTGTCCCATTGCTAGCCAAATCCATTATTCCTTGTTTTATTATTTTTTTTTGTTGTATTTTTTGGCACGCGAGGGAGTCCTGTAAAAGCGGCGGCGAAAGGGTAGCTCATTGTTTGCGGTGTTAATATTTGGCGTCTGGCACCAGCAGACAGCATCAGGGAGATGCCAACAGTGGCACAGGGAGAAAAATATCCTGAAATATAGTCAGGAAACTATATACTATATTGCAAACAATTTAAATTATTTAATTTATATATTTATACCCAGGAATATATATTTTTTATAGCAGACTTGTTACTGATGATGAGTTCTGCAAGTTTGGAAACATATCCAAGATAGTCTGATGATTTCACAGATTACGTAAGTGGGACAGGGAGAAAATGGAAAACTATAATCAGGAAACTATATAATATATCGTAGAAAATTTAAATTATTAATTAAATATATTTACACACAGGATTATATTTAAGTAGACTTGTTTAATGATATTGAGCTCGACTAATTAAGAAACATATCCAAGATGGTCTGCTGTTTACATAGATTCTTTGTGTCTATACAGGCTTTGAATTATTCATACATTTCTTACATTTATTTTTAATTGTTAATTGTTAATTTTTTACCACTGTGTATGCGACAAGGACAGCAAATATGGTTACCGTCAGGCACACCTCTCCTTTTCATTGCCATATCTCGTTCTCTGTCTGTATCTGCATCTGCATATGTATCTGTATCTTTATGTGTATCTGTATCTGCATATCTGCCTCTGCATCTGTGTGTGCATCTGCATCATCATCGCCATCGTTGCCATTGGTAGGCGGCCGTGTGCCATTTAATTGTCACTCCCGTTGTTGCAAGTACTTGGTTCTTTATATGGCCAACTGTAACTGCAGCCGTAATGTCATTGCACTTTTTGTGCAACAAGGAACTCAGCTAAAAAAAGACGGGGAAGGGTAAACATTAAACAAATGCAACTGGGGGAAATGACCAAAATCTACAAATATTAATTTCTTCTATATATTTGTATCTCCTTTCAGGATGTGAGATGCGCCGATCTAGCCATTAGTATACCCAATAATCCTGGTCTGGATGATGGTGCCTCCTATCGGCTGGACTATCGTCCGCCCTTTGGTTATCCAGAACCGAACACAACCATTGCCTCGCGGGATATTGGCGATGAAATTCAATTCTCAAGGGCTCTGCCCGGCACCAAATACAATTTCTGGCTGTATTACACGAACTTTACGCACCACGACTGGCTCACCTGGACGGTGACGATAACGACAGGTGAGTGGAGATGAAAAATGGCATGATTTAATTGGTACTGAAAGAGTGTTGTTAGGGTGCTAGGAGTTGGAAAATATCTATTAATATTAAACAAGAAAGAAAAATAACTTTGGGCAATCGAAATTTATATTCCATCGTACTGGAAATAAATCATACCTAAGGTTAAAATATTTGCACTTTTTGCACTATTTAATAATATTTTTATATGGAAATTTTATCGACATATAAAAGTTTTAAAAATCGAATAACTTTGTCAAAAATGCCTTAATTTCAATTCAGAAATCGTTCCTATGTTAGTTTTTATTAGGTTAATAAATCTGCATACTCAATATAGTATTTAAAAAAATCAACATTTTTGACAATTTTAACGATGTAATAAAATATTGAAAAAAATTTAAAAAAATGTTTTTTCTGCCTCAGATAGCTGGAAAGATTCGCCTGTTGATGCTGATCAAGAATATATATGATTTATAGGGTCGGAAATGGCTCCTTCACTGAATAAAATTATATTCTCCTCTGCAAGATTCTTGAAATCGAAATTTGTATTTGGTAATTTTTTAAAATATTTTTTGGGACAGTCAAAGTTTAAAAATCGCATAACTTTGTCAAAAATGCATCAATTTCAATTCGGAAAGTGTCCCTGTGTTATTTGTGTAACAAATCCGCATACTACGTTTAATTTGTTCCTTTGTTAGTTTTTTGATGGTTAATAATTTTTATTTGACAATTTTTTGTTTAAATCGATTTTTTTATATCATATTTTTTGGGACAGCCAAAGTTTAAGTCGCATAACTTTGTCAAAAATGCCTTAATTTCAATTCAGAAATCGTTCCTATGTTAGTTTTTATTAGGGCAATAAATCTGCATACTCAATTTAGTATTTAAAAATATCATCATTTTTGACAATTTTAACGATGTAACAACCCCTTATAAAATATTGAAAAAATGGTTAAAAATTGTTTTTCTGTCTCAGATGCTGGAAAGATTCGCCTTTTCATGCTGATCAAGAATATATATGAAGTATAGGAACGGAAATGATTCCTTCACATCGTTACAAGCTCTTGACTAAAATTTTCATACTCTGCAATATAAATTCCGATTTTTTTAATTTAGTGAAATATTATAATGGCTACAGCACACTTTCACTTTTAATTAATTGAAACTTTAATTGTGAATACCTATACCATAGTATATTTCCCCTAAAGCCCACTTCAAGTACCCTCAATGTATTGATTTAATTAAATTCCCCTATTTTAGCCCTTGCTAATCCTGCAAAGGGATACATTTTCAATTTCTAAATGGGAAGCCTTCTAGGATTATATGCCGAATAGGTTGAGGATATGGTCAAACTACCCTTCCCCATTTAAATTAGTTAGTTAGAAATTAAAGATTACCAAGTGGTCCTCGAAATGGCTTCCGTCTAATTGACTTTTCCTGTCGCCGTTGTGTCGACGACTTGTTAGGGCGAAACCCAATACAAATACCAGTTGCAAGTGCCACAAATTGCTAATTGCCGTTCGGTCTATGTCGGTTTTTGTGTTTGTTATTTTCCGTCGATGTTTTGTAATGTTTTGTAAGCTGCCTAATGAGCAGATTCTCCACTAAGTAACAAAATCAATCAGACAATGTGCAGGAGCAGAGGCGAACAAAAAGGGGCACCCATCCTGGCCTTTGTCCTGTACACTTGCAGAAAAAGAATATGCTAGTAAGCTAAAAAGTACCTCTAAGTATTAAATTCTTTAATATACCCTGGAAATTTTCAGTTTTAGGTAGTAATTTCGAAGAAAATAACATACATAACAAGTCTTAAATCTATGAGGACAATTTTATTATAATAATTCAGTTAGAAACACACCCTTAAAAGCTCAAGGAGTTAAGATAGAGATTTGGAACCTAAAGGTAAAATGTTTGCCTTTATAATACCTCTTTGCATACCAAGTTTCAGATCAATCGGATATATGTATATATTTATATAAACCTACAGCTTAACCCAAACTAAGATTCAAGTTGTTTCAAGTTATTTTTAAAGGTGAGCTACACAAGTTTTGGGAAAGAAGTTTTCCCCCAAAATCCAAAAAGGTGGTGGAAATGTGTCCAACACCTGTGAATGTCCATATCCAAAGAGGAGTGGTTGATAAAACAGGGCAGAGCAAGGAAGAGATGAGAGAGTAGAAACAAAGATAGGGGGCGTTGAGAGCAATCCTATGCCTATAAATTACCCAAGGGTCTCGTTGGGCGGGAAAACTCAAGGAAAACTAAGGAAAACCAAGAGAGATGGGGAGCAGCTGAACTGTGAAGGGGGGAAAAGCGTCAACTGTTTTCGCCAATTTGTTGGTTTTACTGCTTTTGTTATGGAGTGGCATGGCAAAAATGCAGTTAACGTATTATTGCCAACGCATTTTTCAAGAAAGCCAGCGCTCACACTCTTCCCCGTTTTTATCGCTCTTTCTGGCCAATAAAAACAAAGCTGGTCAAATGAAGAAAGTGAACAAAAATTTCAAGTTATCGCCGGCGATCGACAAAAATAACAAGCAACACATACAAAAAAAAACACAAATCACAAAAAGCCGCACAAAGACCAACGCAAAAGAAAGAGCAAACAACTAAACAAAAAAGTTATAGCAACAACTTTTACCAGAAATGAAGTTAAGGTAGCAGCATAAATAAATAAATTTATATATATATAAATTAAAGACATAATTAGGCAATAGATTAGCAACAGAAGTTCGCAATTTCTAAAGTCTCCCATCAGCAGGCATCGGTGGTTCAGTGGTAGAATGCTCGCCTGCCACGCGGGCGGCCCGGGTTCGATTCCCGGCCGATGCAGGGATTATTTTTTATTGTTTCTTTTTTCTTAGTTCTCTCTTTTCTCTATTTTTTTAAGTTATAAACATGTTTTCCATTATTATTATTAATTTTAAAAGCTTTAATAAGATTGGAAGAAGAAGAAACCGAATTTTAACTTGGAAGGAAAATTCAATCTAATTTAATCTGAAACTCAGTATTGGAATAGGTATCTTAAAGGCAATCGTGGTTTCATCAGGTTAAAAATTCCTATCTTAAATACTATGATATGGACTTATGAGAGGGACTTATCTTACTATTTTATTAACTTTGAGATCGTAAAATTTGTCCAATCAATGTGAAACTTTGTATGGGTTTAGATATTTTAAAGGTACAAATACTATCACTCCTAGAGGGTTTTATCTTATTGAATTATTGATACTTAAATCATAATATCAATCTAATCAAGCTGAAACTTGGTATGAGGATAGATATTTAAAAGACAAATGTACTTTCCTTCGGTCCAAAATCGGAAAATTAATTATTATGGCTATGATTTATTAACCATGAGATTGTAATAATTATAAAATACATCTGAAAATTGGTATGTAAAAAATTGTAGTTTCAAAGATTGTAATAATAATAAAATCCATCTGAAACTTGGTATTTAAGTAGGTATCTTGAAAGAAATTGTAGTTTCAAAACCGCTATCTTAAGTACTGTGACCCTGGAGGTTTCTATCTTATAATTATAATAATTTAGTTAACCCTTATAACTTACTATCAATCCAATCAATCTGAAATTTGATAGGAGAATAGTTCTTAAAAATGGTACAGATAATATATATTCTATTTATATTAAATTCTAATTATTATAATTTATTTTTACACATTTTCCAGCTCCTGATCCGCCATCGAATCTCTCCGTTCAAGTGCGTAGCGGGAAGAACGCCATCATCCTGTGGTCACCGCCCACCCAGGGCAGCTACACGGCCTTCAAGATCAAGGTGCTGGGCCTGTCGGAGGCCTCGAGCAGTTACAATCGCACCTTTCAGGTGAATGACAATACATTCCAGCACAGTGTCAAGGAGCTGACACCGGGAGCCACCTATCAAGTGCAAGCCTATACAATATACGATGGCAAGGAGTCTGTGGCATACACCAGTAGAAATTTTACCACGAGTGAGTTTAATTTGCAGCTTCATAATTATTATTTAACTTTCATTATTGTTATTATAATTGTTGTTATTCCCTGGTTTCTACTCGGTGATGGTTACTAAAAATGATTAACTTCTTTGTCTCCCGCTTTCATTGTAACTAAACACTCAACAACAAAAAAACCATGACATTAAATTAATAAAAAAACACACAAAAAAGGTCGAAGGACGCGGCATAAAGAATTGCTGGACATTAAGATACTAAGAGGTAATACTTGAGCTTGTTTTCTCTTGGAAACAAAAGAAAATCTACCCAAAGAACTCCCTAACTCAACCCCTAAAGACGTTTTAGTTATTTGCATGGAAGTTTTTTCAACAAAAGAAATTAAATTTCAAAGAAAATTTAGCATGAAAGCGTATTAATATTGTTCATATTTTATTTGACTTGATAAATGCTGATTTTAATTGCCACTTTCTAAGACTAAACCTTATTTTAAAATAGTTTTTTATAATATTAAAGAGAAATAGTATTTGTAGTAGTATTTATAAAATATTTCTGAGTGTAAAGACAAAACACCACCCCCTGCACCGCCCTGGGCAAACCCAAATTGCATTCCAAATTTCATTTTGTATCCGACAACCGCAGTGCACTTTCTCTGCACAGAAATGGCGGCGACCTCGTCATCCTCCTCCCTCACCTCCTGCGCTTCTGTAGTGTTCCTCCTCTCTGGTCAAAGCCATGTGCATGTCCAGCCACAGCAAAGCAACCGAAACACAAATCACAGTGGTCACTGTGTAAGAGGAATGCATAACCCTTGACCACAAGATGTTTTTTTTGTTTATAAATAGTTATTAAATGTTGGAGACTTTTCTATGCATGGTAAAGATATGCCAAATGGATTAAAGTTTGCTACCAACTCATGTTTTACTTTAATAATATTATCTATTTGTATATATTTTATTTTATTAGAAACATAATATGGATATTTTACTTATCTTATATATATTACATAACCATTATCATTATTATTACTTAGATATATTATTTATTTGTAGAAAAATCTTTAATTTTACTAATTTAGAGATTGTCTTTTATAATAAATGAAGTTTTTATAATCTGATTAGTGTATTTACCAATTTAATACCAAAAAAGGTTCTTATAAACTTATTAGTTCATAAAAACTTTATTAATTTATAAAAGAAATTGAATTAATACTAAAAATCTCTTAACATTTCACTGGAATAATATCCACTGTGCCTAACCCCCATTCCACATAGTAGAACTTACATACGTAGAAGTTGCTCCCAAACCTGACCCCAGAATCCCTGCCACAATCCTCACAAGCCCATGCCCCATCCATTACCAAAAACTAAAAACCCTTCTCCACCCTGCCCCCATCCCAAAAATTCTGAAATACCAACTGTGACCGCAACTAACGCCAAGCCACTTCACTTCTCTGTTTCCTCCCCGTAATCCGCAATTTGGAATCCACCGACGCCGACTCCGCCGACGCCTCCGCCTTCGGCATCATCCGCAGAGCCCAACACTCCGGGGAAATTCATCGTCTGGTTCCGGAATGAGACGACCCTGCTGGTCCTGTGGCAGCCGCCATATCCGGCGGGTATCTACACGCACTACAAGGTCTCCATTGAGCCGCCGGATGCCAACGACAGTGTGCTGTATGTGGAGAAGGAGGGCGAGCCGCCGGGCCCGGCGCAGGCGGCCTTTAAGGGATTGGTCCCTGGGCGAGCCTACAACATCTCCGTGCAGACAATGTCCGAGGATGAGATCTCGTTGCCCACCACAGCGCAATATCGAACGGTGCCGCTGCGACCGCTGAACGTGACCTTTGACCGGGACTTTATCAGCTCCAACTCGTTCCGGGTGCTATGGGAGGCCCCAAAGGGTATATCCGAGTTTGACAAGTACCAGGTTTCGGTGGCCACCACCCGACGACAGTCCACTGTTCCGCGTAGCAATGAGCCGGTGGCTTTCTTTGATTTCCGTGACATCGCAGAGCCAGGCAAAACCTTCAATGTGATTGTAAAGACAGTGTCCGGCAAGGTCACCTCGTGGCCAGCCACCGGAGATGTTACCCTGCGTCCACTGCCCGTTCGGAATCTGAGGAGTATCAATGATGATAAGACTAATACAATGGTGATCACCTGGGAGGCAGATCCGGCCAGTACGCAGGACGAGTATCGCATTGTGTGAGTACCGTGTAATTCCTTCCTTTTTAAACTTTGCACTTTACTAATTACTCATCCATTGCTCTTCCCCATAGCTACCACGAACTGGAGACCTTTAATGGAGACACCAGCACCTTGACCACAGATCGCACACGCTTCACCCTGGAGAGCCTGCTGCCTGGCAGAAACTACTCTCTCTCCGTGCAGGCCGTCTCCAAGAAGATGGAATCCAATGAGACAAGCATCTTTGTGGTCACACGGCCTTCGTCTCCGATCATTGAGGATCTGAAGAGCATCCGAATGGGCCTGAACATTAGCTGGAAGAGCGATGTCAACTCAAAGCAGGAGCAATACGAGGTCTTGTATTCCCGCAATGGAACAAGTGAGGTGCGCACCCTGATCACCAAGGAGTCCCGGCTGGTGATCAAGAATCTTCAGCCAGGTGCTGGCTATGAGCTAAAGGTCTTTGCCGTTAGCCATGACCTGAGGAGCGAGCCGCATGCCTACTTCCAGGCAGTGTGTAAGTACTCGTCTCTCTATATATAAACCAAGACAATTTTTAATCACAATCCTTCAATCCCTGGCAGATCCCAATCCACCGAGGAACATGACCATCGAAACAGTGCGCAGCAACTCTGTCCTGGTCCATTGGTCACCGCCGGAGAGCGGTGAATTCACTGAATATTCCATTCGCTATCGAACGGACAGCGAGCAGCAGTGGGTGCGCCTGCCCAGCGTCCGATCCACGGAGGCGGACATCACCGACATGACCAAGGGCGAGAAGTACACCATTCAGGTGAATACGGTGAGCTTCGGCGTGGAGAGCCCAGTGCCGCAGGAGGTGAACACAACGGTGCCACCGAATCCCGTATCCAATATCATCCAACTGGTGGACTCCAGGAACATCACACTGGAATGGCCCAAGCCCGAGGGACGTGTAGAGTCCTACATACTCAAGTGGTGGCCCAGCGACAATCCTGGTCGCGTACAAACGAAGAACGTCTCGGAGAACAAATCGGGTGAGTTGATACATAACATTTAATTGCAAGGAGGCCAAGGAAAATAACTCGTCTCTTTATAATCTCCAGCTGACGATCTGTCCACGGTCCGCGTGCTTATTGGCGAACTGATGCCGGGCGTGCAGTACAAGTTCGATATCCAGACGACCTCGTACGGCATCCTTTCGGGCACCACAAGCCTCTATCCGCGCACCATGCCCCTCATCCAATCGGACGTGGTGGTGGCCAATGGCGAGAAGGAAGACGAAAGGGACACAATCACGCTGAGCTATACACCAACGCCACAGTCCTCCTCCAAGTTCGATATCTATCGCTTCTCCCTGGGCGACGCCGAGATCCGGGACAAGGAGAAGCTGGCCAATGACACTGATCGCAAGGTGACCTTCACTGGCCTTGTGCCAGGACGCCTGTACAACATCACCGTGTGGACTGTGAGTGGCGGTGTGGCCAGTCTGCCCATCCAGCGGCAGGATCGTCTCTATCCGGAGCCCATCACCCAGCTGCATGCCACTAATATCACGGACACGGAGATTTCGCTGCGCTGGGATCTGCCCAAGGGCGAGTACAATGACTTTGACATTGCCTACCTGACGGCGGACAACCTGCTGGCCCAGAACATGACCACACGCAACGAGATCACCATCAGCGATCTACGTCCGCATCGCAACTACACCTTCACTGTGGTGGTGCGCTCCGGTACAGAGTCCTCAGTGCTACGCAGCAGTTCACCGCTCTCGGCCAGCTTTACCACAAATGAGGCAGTGCCAGGTCGCGTGGAACGCTTCCATCCCACGGATGTGCAGCCCAGCGAGATTAATTTCGAGTGGTCACTGCCCTCCAGCGAGGCGAACGGTGTCATCCGACAGTTTGCCATTGCGTACACGAATATCAACAATCTGACGGATGCCGGCATGCAGGACTTTGACTCGGAGGAATCCTTTGGCATTATCAAGAACCTAAAGCCGGGTGAGACATATGTCTTCAAGATTCAGGCCAAGACAGCCATAGGCTTTGGCCCCGAACGCGAGTATAGACAAACGATGCCAATATTGGCACCACCACGTCCCGCCACTCAGGTGGTGCCAACGGAGGTCTATCGCAGCTCCAGCACCATTCAGATTCGATTCCGCAAGAACTACTTCTCGGATCAGAACGGTCAGGTGCGCATGTACACCATCATTGTGGCGGAGGATGATGCCAAGAATGCCTCCGGCCTGGAGATGCCCAGCTGGCTGGATGTGCAGTCGTATAGCGTGTGGTTGCCCTACCAGGCCATCGATCCGTATTATCCCTTTGAGAATAGATCCGTTGAGGACTTTACCATCGGCACGGAGAACTGTGACAATCACAAGATTGGCTACTGTAATGGACCTTTGAAGTCAGGTACCACCTACCGGGTCAAGGTGCGCGCCTTTACCGGACCGGACAAGTTCACGGATACGGCCTACAGTTTTCCAATTCAAACTGGTGAGTTGTTAATAGGGGTTTTTTTTTACTCATAACTAACCTGTAGGATATAACACTTTATTAATGAATTAATTCTCAACCATGTCTTGCCATGAATACGATAGAAATGCTGAGCTCACCGGGTAAGCAATTATTAAAGGTCCTTGAGAAAGGACCAAAGGGTTTTATTTGAATATATATAGTTAAAAGATGGTTAGACTCTTCTATATAATTTGTAATGAATAATTATTCAAAGGATAAAATCAATGATTAAAGGCAAGCTATATGCCTGGAATATTTTGGAGCTTGCTAGTATCCTTCATCAGTAGTAAATATCTAGGGAAATATATATAGCAAGGATTTACCCTATTTAGAACTCGTATAACCCTTTTTATTTATCAACAAAAGTTGCAGTAAAATTCCAACCCTCTGGAGTTGGAGTATAACTAATTTTAACTTTCCACTAATTGAAATCTATTCTCTTCCATCTTAGATCAAGATAACACCTCCCTGATTGTGGCTATTACGGTGCCGTTGACCATTATTTTGGTGCTCCTGGTCACGTTGCTCTTCTACAAGCGACGCCGGAACAATTGCCGCAAAACCACCAAGGACTCGCGGGCCAATGATAATATGTCCCTGCCGGACAGTGTCATCGAACAAAATCGTCCGATTTTGATCAAGAACTTTGCGGAACACTATCGTCTTATGTCCGCCGATTCGGACTTCCGCTTCAGCGAGGAGTTTGAGGAACTGAAGCATGTGGGTCGCGATCAGCCTTGCACCTTTGCGGATTTGCCCTGCAATCGTCCCAAGAATAGATTCACCAACATCCTGCCCTATGATCACTCACGTTTCAAGCTCCAGCCGGTGGACGATGACGAGGGCAGTGATTATATCAATGCTAATTACGTGCCCGGTCACAATTCGCCGCGGGAGTTCATCGTCACCCAGGGACCGTTGCATTCCACACGGGATGACTTCTGGCGCATGTGCTGGGAGAGCAACTCCCGGGCCATTGTCATGCTAACCCGGTGCTTCGAGAAGGGTCGCGAGAAGTGCGACCAGTACTGGCCCAATGACACTGTTCCGGTGTTCTATGGTGACATTAAGGTGCAGATTCTCAACGATAGCCACTACGCCGACTGGGTGATGACCGAGTTTATGCTGTGCAGGGTAGGATCAATCTTGAGGATTTCTTAGATAACTTTTAACTCCTCCTTTTGTATTTTACACCAAAACAGGGCAGCGAGCAGCGCATCCTGCGGCACTTCCACTTCACCACCTGGCCGGACTTTGGTGTGCCCAATCCGCCGCAGACGCTGGTGCGTTTCGTGCGTGCCTTCCGCGACCGGATTGGAGCGGAGCAGCGGCCCATTGTGGTGCACTGCAGCGCCGGTGTGGGCAGGTCGGGCACATTCATCACCCTAGACCGCATCCTGCAGCAGATTAATACGTCCGACTATGTGGACATCTTTGGCATTGTGTATGCCATGCGCAAGGGTAAGGGTTAGAGCTATTTTACAAAAGGTTCTATGTAATCCTTCTACTTGCTTTCCCTTTAAACAGAGCGCGTTTGGATGGTGCAGACGGAGCAGCAGTACATCTGCATCCACCAGTGCCTGCTGGCGGTGCTCGAGGGCAAGGAGAATATTGTGGGACCCGCCCGGGAGATGCACGACAACGAGGGCTATGAAGGTATGTAGGGGAACTTGGATTATTGATCTGGGAACCCAGGAACTCTAGCAGTTTCGCTGCCGTTCGCAATGACTAACCAAAGAAAAAACAAAACATAAAAAAACAAAATTTAGAAAGATTGAGTGGAGCTCTCTCTTTACGAGGCCGCAGGACAGCTGCTTGTAGTTGATCCCTGATCATTGCTATTGTTAGAATTATGTTTTCGGTTTCTTGCGGTGACGGGTGACTAACCAATGTGCAATGCCATTATTTTCCTCCATTTCCAAAAACCGCGCGCACGTGCAAATGCACAGGCCAAGCAACAGTGCAGCTGGACGAGAACGGTGATGTGGTGGCCACCATTGAGGGCCACCTATCGTCGCATCACGATCTCCGCCAGGCGGAGGCGGAGGCCATTGACGATGAGAATGCAGCCATACTGCACGATGACCAACAGCCGCTGACCAGCAGCTTCAATCATCATCATCATCACAATCATCACATGACACTGCCGACCACCACATCGATGAGCTCCTTTGGCGGAGCAGCCGGTGCTGGTGGCACAGAAATGGCACCTCCGCCGGACAGATGACATTCGGTTGTCAACCAGAGCAGCGATAACAACAACTCGGTGGTTATCGTTCTGGTTGACAACAAGCCCAGCTCGATGATCTGCAAGGACAGCAAGGTCCTCGAGTTTGAAACACAGACAGGCGTTGGTGGTGGTGGCTCAAACACCACCAATGGCTACAACACGCTCCAGCATAGACGCAAGTCCCAGCTGATCACCTTTAGCTCGTCGTCCTGTGATATCAAGAACAGTCTTAGCCATGAGCACATTGCCAATGGAACGGGCACGGGATCTGGATCAGGATCGGGATCAGGTGCCACAGGATCGAGCTCCAGCAGCGGCAGCAATCGTGCCAGCCGTGCCAATGTGCGTCTCAGCTTCGCCGAGGAGGATGTAATGATTCTGCCGCAGAATCACAACCAGTCCCAGGACAATGACGATGTCTTTGTGCGACGTCGCTCGCTACTGGAAGTTGAACTTGGCGTGGAGGTGGGCGAGGATGGTGAACTGGTGCCACACGAGCTGGACGGGGATCTCGAGGAGGAGGATGAAGGAGAAGAGGACTGCGTCGATGTCGATGTCGATGAGGACGTGGAGCTGTACATGCACGATGAGTTTGAGACGCACATCGACACCAAGTCGAACAATGCCAACGATGACAGCGGCGGCGGTAGCTATGAGGATTCCCATGCCCTACACTCCTCACTGGGCGGCAGCAATCGGAACAGTTTGGAGAAGGACGACGACGACATCGAGGTGGATGTGATCAGCACCGATGTTAGCTGCTACGACCAGCTTCTGGGCAGCAGCTGTAATACGCGCAACGGCGACGATGATGACATTGCCACCCTGGTGGGCGACGGTGACTCCAACTATGCCACCACCAAGCTCTGCAAGGGTTTGGGTCTATCTGCCAGTGGCCTAGGCACTGGAGCAGGTGCAGGAGCCGGAGCAGGCGGCGGCGGAGGCAACAACGTGGGTGGATTAGGAGGCGGCATTGCAGGCGGAGGAGTTGGAATAGGAAGCAACGGCAGCAGTGTTAATGGTGGTGGTGTTTTGGGCAATGGTGTTGGTTCCGAGGCTGGCGGCGGCATCATCTATGCCAATCCGTTTATGGGTTTGTATAGACATACACTTTCGGCACAGAACCCTCCTCCCCATATCCCGATGCTGGTGCACAGTGCGTTTCATGGCTAATAAAACCATTGAATCAAGCCACTAAATAATCAAATAATCGAATGATCTGATTAAAAATTAAATTTAAATCGAGTTACTTGTAATAAGTAAATAGTAAATATATTAAATCATGCCTTATTCGTGAAATACACTGTGGCCATCTCCTTTCGATATTGTATGTTGCCTGCATGTTGAACCTGTACTCTATTTTGTATATTTTTCTTATATGTACATATATATTTTTATTGTGTGTATTTCATTTCGTATATTTTATTGTATATTTTATTTTAAATATATCCCTGAATGTTTTCTAAACCGGCATGCGCTAAGCTTTAACTCGAAAGCCATTCGAATATGACTAATCTCTGCGGATTTGAATATTTTTCAGATGACGAAGGCATCGCCGAGTCGGGAATGTAGACGCCAATTACTCCAATCCACTCCAATCCAATCCAATCCCAACCGAACACAACTGAGAACCGAATGGAAACCGAACCCAACTCAACCATCATGTGGCAAACTACATTATTATTTACTTAAGGGGCGTGAGGGAGCTAATGGAAGGATATGGAGATCCACGCTTGATATTATACTTGGATATATACTACATACACCGGATACTACTCGATATATATATATATATATACATATATAAATATACACCGATCTATCGAATGGGAATGCAGCAATCTCGCCAAACAGAACACGCATCAATTTATACATTTTATATAGTATGTATACACAACATATATATATATATATCGTAAGATAATCAAGGGATCCGATTGCGATTGAAATTGTAATCGAGTAACGAGTAACGAGTAACGTGTAACGAGTAATTGTAATTGCCGCTTCAACTGGAGAATACTGAATACTGAAACGTATTTTACGCTAGCCACAATTTGATATAAACTATATATATTGTATCTTCCAATTTTTTTTTGTACACTTAATGTTAGTTGAAATATGTATGTGAGCCAGACGAGCAAATTTTTGTAGCCAACTAAAAGCGCTAAATGTTTACTTTTTATATTATTATTATATATATATGTATGCATATATATATAAATACTTGATAAACATATACCTTATATTAGACCTAAACTAAAACTAAACCTAAACTAACTCTAAATCGCACACACGCCCACTCATAGACACTCACAACTACGACAACAACACAAGATGCAATAATTGAGTTAAATAGATTTAATACAACAAAGATTTTGCTGCATGTATGTATGTACGTATGTAGTGTAGTGTAATCCTTTTTACATTTTTATTTTTTATTATTATTATAATTATTATTTTTTTTATAATTTCTGTTTAATTATTTTATAGGTCGTAAGCTGTGTAAACTTCTTGTGTAATGTATGTGCTACCTTAATTTTGTTTAATTATATCAAGTTTTATTTAAAAATCGAAACTATTTGTTTGCCTTTTGATTTGAACATTAGACAAAGCAGGTTGGGCACAGGAAGTGAATAAATCCAATCAAGAACGTAATTTAAAACACCGATGTTATTGTTAAAACAAAGTAAAACTAAAAAACAACACAAAATACTTGCACACAAGTCGCATTTCCATTTTCACTTCATTCACCAATTTAGTGATTTTTATCTGCTGCAGACATGCAACGAATTAACTATTTTAAAAACTAAACTAAGTTAAAAAGTACTGAACTGAACTGTTTTGAATAATAGAGAAATGGTATAGGCTCTTACATTTTAAAAGCAAATAATTTTCAATTAGGAAAAATAGTTACACTTTAAAGAAATGGAGTTAGAATTATTAAAAAATATATATCTTCAAAATCAACATAACCTTGTTCAACGAGTAACGAATATAAAGAGTACCGAGTTAAAAGTACCGAGTACATTTAAAATTCTCTGGTTTCTGGGTACATTAGCTCTTCAAGCTTTGATTTTTTAGATTTATAATTAAAATCTTTCCAAGAAGAGAGTGAAAGTGGAAGATAGGCCGGCGATATGAAACATACAGACAGCACAAATGAAAATCGGGAAGAAAATCATACATGAAATTAATCAAAATGACCAAGCAACGCATTTTGTGAGGCGATAATCATTTACACACAAAATCCAATATGAGAACAATGAAACCGAATCCCACGCAAACCGTAAAGACTAACTAACTAAAACCAACAACCGATAGTTAAGGGCTAATTAATAGAGCCGGTGCCAAAGCGACAAACACCCAAACACACGCGACAAACCACTATAGCAATAATAATCATTAAACAATAACAAAATAAGTCCAAATTGATTTGTATAAACCTGTGTAATTTTATGTCCAGAACTTAGTTGAAGTGATTAACCGAAGTGCAATAGAATCGTTTTGCTTCTATAGATTAGTGAATATATAAACAACGAAGCCACATTATTTCAATTCATCCTAGACCCAAAACCCTGCCACACAATAGTAATTAATAAATAAATAATTAAATCAATAAATACATATATATGCAAAGGACGAGGATCGCAACTAGAAAGTCTGTGTAATGCATACAAAATAAACGAAAACGAAAACATACTATACATACGACTCCATCATTATACAACACGTACTAAGACGAATTACATATGCATATACAATATAGACATATATTAAAAATATATATATCATTGTAATAATTTGTAATGTTTATCAGTAGAATTAAATACGGTTCGAGGTGGGGCAGCAGACGAGTGAAACGCATAAGCAGAAGATCCCATTAAAGTGTACTGTAAAGTGTGCGAAAACCAGTGTGTTTCCATTTAACATCATTATTATTTATTTTTATTTAAGAGTTCAAGAACTGATTTAAATTGGAAGCTACAAACGGTTGCCGAACTCTCCTTTTTTAACTAGGTTTTGGCTACGATTGGATTTTGTATTGCATACATATTTGCACAGGGTGGACGACTAACACTAAACACTAAATTGGCACAGGGAATGGTCAACGTCCTCACTGAGCGGGGGCTGAAGTAGAAGCTGCAGCCGCAGCCGGAGTCGGAGCCTTCATTGCCAGCATGGCGTCCAGCTCGCTTTGAATGTTTTCGAACTGATTGTATAGATCCTGCAGCTCCGGATGCGTCATCTCGATGCTAATGTCCTCGCCGGCGCCCGTCTTCATCTGAAGAACGGCCAGCGGTGTCTTTGTCCGTTGCTGGCAGTGCGAGGAAACCTCGACATTGAGCTTCCATGCCACGTCCTCGATCACATTCGATTCGTACCGCTTGCTGGCCAAATTGTTCATGATCGGGGTGGTCTCACGGACCCACAGCCGCAGAATAGCATCGATCTTGGCCTCGTCCTCTAGCTGCAGCTTGTCGCGCAGTTCACGCTGCAACAGACTGGGTTTAATGATGAACGTGGAGATTCGGCGCAGGATGTACGAAAAGGTTTTGATAAGCAGAAGGAAGTCTGCCCGTGGCACGCCCACCAATCGCTCTAGTTCCTCTAGCGTGTACTCCGGCTCACTACTGCTGGTGGGGTTTTCCTCTCCGGCACCACTGCTGTCCGCCCGCTCCGTAGTTGTCACACTGGTGCCCACCGTACTGCCGGCGCTAGTGGACGCGGAAGCCCCGGAGCCGCTTGGACTCATCTGACGGTGTGTGTACCAAAGGACTGTGGTGAAGGTGTCGAACGGTAACGCATTTATAATCTTGATGCCCTCCCGGGCCCTAAACGGTTAATTAATGGTTAAATTATATGCGTTCTTTGTGATTAAATAAAGGCTTACCTTTCAGTGATCTTTATCCAATTAATGCTCATTGGGAGAGGGTCGGCTTTTTTGTATTTACCAGTGGGTTTGATAACACACTCCCAATATAAGATTGTGGGTTTATTTATCTGTTAATTAATTAGTTTATAGAAATAGTAAACAAAAGCAAGTTTGTGCAGCAGTAACAATAACAAAAAACCTATCGGAGTGACAGCTGTTGATGGAGCTGCCATCTGGCTTTACAATCGGTGCTGCCATCTTTTTAGTGGGATTTAACAGAAGCTCAGCCATTTTTAGTTCAATATGAAGCACGCCAGGTGGCAACACTGGACTGAAACGCGGCTTAAGTTTTTCCGCTGATTCGACGGCAAAAGATGCACTTTTGAGGCGTAGTGTTTGCACCCACGCCCCCCGAGTGTTCGAGGTTCCGAGTTTGAGTGCAGCAGTGGCCGGAGTGGCATTCGGATAAGCCAGGAAAAGTGCGCGGAACGAGGCGATCGGAGCGGAGTGAGAAATTCGGCCAGCGCGTCCATCTGTAAAGCGGTAAAGAATCGTTGAGCCTCACCACCGGGTGGAAAAGCGGAGGGGAAAACTGAAAACGAAACCACCAACGCCAGCAGCATTTCTGCCAAGTAAGAATTGTAATCGTGAAGAAACATAGATTTTATATTGACTCCCAATTCTGGTCAATTAACAAAAACAGTTAGAAGCTGCCCCAACTAACGGGACCGTTAGTTCAAGTGTATATGTGTTTTCGTGCGTGTGTGTTTGACTCGTGTTCGTTCCTGTGTAAATAAACAAAACCCGGCTCTTTTATCTCCTCCTCTTTCTGTCGCTCTTTTGCGAGTTTTTCCAAATCAAAGGTATTTTCGAGTTTGTATTTTCGCCAAGCCTGTGTATGTGTGTGTGTTGGTGTGGGTGTCAGGTGTACTGGAGCGAGTGTGTGTGTACGTGTACAAAGTTCTGGCAGCTTTCCGTAAAAATCGATAGCGCGTCGTCGGTTGTTTATTTTATGCTTCGTCTGCAATTTCCAGCCCCTTTATCGCGCGCACTCCCTCCCTCACTCGCTCGCTCGCTCACACCCTCTTGCCAGGGCAATGCATACACACACACACGCATACAAACACATAGATAGAGCGGGTGATATGGGAAATTAAAAATAATAATAATTTTTTTATCGCGGCATGCAAAGCGCAGCAAAGCCAAAGAAACAAAACGATTCCACCAGCTGTAAATACAACAAATAAAAGTAATCTCGCCATGCAATCAATTCAGCGAAACAATAAGACAAGCCGTTTTCCTCGCTTTATCGCATTTTCCGCTCATTACGACGGCAGTTTAGCATATTTATGCTGGAAAAATATTGGGGTTTCTTTGCTGCTTATGTTACCCTTTTCTTTTGGTATTTTGTTTTCTTTTTTTATATACGTTTTACGTTTTGCAATTCGCGTTTTATGTTCTGCGTTCTGTTCGGTGCTATGGTGCTGTCTCGGTCCGTAAAAACAGCAGTTAATCCAATTAAGAAAAATAAAACTCTAAAAGAAAAGGGTCACAACGAATTGCCGATCTCCTAGCGATTTCCCAAATGGAAATTTCAGAATTTAGCAATATTAAATTGCCTTTAGGCTGTATTTGTAAGACCAACAAACTATATGTAGTCCTTTAGTTTGTTTCCTTTTACATTTTTCATTTTATATACTTTGTAATTGATTTGAAGCCTGTACCTTTTTCTTGTAAACCCTGTGTATATCTTGCTGCGTCTGTTTAATCAGTATCAGTTCCAACTAAAGATGAATTGGAGTCCCAGATGCAGAACCTTTTAAATTCACTTTTGAGAATCCATGTTGCTTGGGGCTATATTTCCCTTGAATTCTATATTAACAAAGGTGCCACGATACCATATAAGCTCTGTGATATTATCAACTAGCAGTCAGTGCCGTAGTGCCTTGTTTTGGAACAGTGTTGCTTTCGCTTGTAATATTCGTACGGAATTATCATGGATCAGGAGCAGAATCAGGTTATTCCTAGGATATTTTAAAACTTATAAATCTTTCAATTTCTCCTGATATGTTACTATATTTCGAATATAACTGGGCATAATAGGGAAGCAATCGAAGCTCCACTCAGCCACTCAGTGGCTTTAACCGAGCAGCTCTCGCCATGGTTCGCAGCCCTTTTGGGTCGGCCGGCGATGCCCGCAACTTTGCAGCGTAGAGGAGAGCTTGGCCGCGGCACCTGCTATTGCCAGCACCAGCTCATAGTCAGAGTCAGTTTGTCAGTCGGCCAGAATTGGTCTCGGGGTCAAGATGTGGTGGAGCTGCTCCAGGAGAGCAGCATAGACGGCCTGGATAGCAGATACAATTGCTTTAATGCCAAATAATGCCTCTTGCAGAGCCAAAACCAGACGGAGATAATGGAGTCACAGAAGCGGCCTTCATTGCATTTACTCACGGATGCGACAGCAGCAGGAGTTCCGGGATCTGGAGGAGCTGAGATGTCGCCTACTTCCGGGTTCCTGCCGGACATGCCGCAGTGGAAGAAGGACCTCATCCAGCGCCGAAAGACCAATGTTGCGCGCACCCAGGCGGCGGCCATTGCATCGCCTGTCGACGGCAGTTGTGGGGCTTTGGCTGGGGAGTTAAGCGCTGGCACCGCTCCAAATCCAAATGCAATTGCAGGTGAGCTGGCATTATTTTAAATTAAAATGTGACAAGTTTTCGTTTTTCGTTCGCATTGTTTCGATTTGAAATTATTTAAATTTATGCGCGCACTGCTATCGCTTATCGATATGGAAACGTTGCCAGATTAACAAACTTGCTATCGATTACTTACCAAGCGATATTCATTTTGCTACATCGACATATAATTAATAATATTAAGTGTAGAATACAAAAATTATAAGTTAATTTGTATATTGAATATTTTTGTATGCAATTTACAACTTTCTTGTTTGTAGAGCGTCTTATCGATAGGTGCCTATCGGCATGGCAGCATTGCCAGATTAGTGAGGTGAAAACTTGCATTGATCATGGCACTGCCTTCTGAATTAAGAAACTGAGATTTAAATTGTTATTTTTCTTCCCCGCCTCTCTTCACCCAATGCAGACTCCCTGGAACTGGCGGCAGTCGGTGGCACCACTAGTCAGAAGAGAACCATTACGACGTCGATGGCAGCAGAGGAAAAGTCTGAAAAGTACTCCACTGGAGTTCATCATACGCAAGGAAAAGACTCTGTTGCTGCACCGCTCTCACCCGAGGCGGCAGCAGCAATAGCACCCATACCAAAGCAGCGATCGAGTTTACTACTCAACACAACTTCCATAAGAAGCCAAGAGGAGGAGCGGGAGGGAGAGATTCTAAATTTGGATCTCAGAGAACGTGAGAGAGAGAGCCAGAGCGAGCCGGCTGCAACCGTGGTGAGTTCGTCGCGAGGTGAAGTTGAAACTGGCACAGCAGCAGCGACAACTGGAGCATTAACAAATACACCGTCGTCAGCAAATCACAATCCGAACCAAAATCATTTGTTAACGAAATGCAAACCGGGCCAGAGCGTTGCTGAGGGCGAGCCTTTAGCCAGCAGCAGCAAGACCAAGACCATTTCCATTTCGGACAAGCTCCAGAGCAACAAATTCATCCAGCAGCAACAGCAGCAGCAACAACAACAACAGCAGCAACAGCAACTGTCCCCCAGCAAGGTAACGGTAAACGCGACAATGGTCGCCATGCAAGAGATGAAGAAGACCACAAAACAAAATGGCCAACACCACCGACACATAGCGGGCAAGATGGCGGCACCTGGCGAGGATTCGGAGGAGCACCAGGCGACAACACTGCCAGAGACGCTGGAGGACCTGAGCTACGGCCCCGGTATCGTGTCCAAGCTGCGCTGCCGCTACCTCAGTTTGGCCCTGCGTGAGTCCCGTCAGCAGAGCAGCAAGCAGCGGCTGCAGCGCTCCACCAGCCTCAACACGCTGCTGGATCGAGAGGACGACGAGGGCGAGGCGGAGAACGATGTGGAGGCGACGACGGCAGGAACTGCCACCCAAGTGCGTGCCAAATCCACACCGCCACCCATTCTGGGAGCGAAGCCCCAGGGTAACAAACCGTTGCCCCAGCGTCCGGTGAGCCTGGGTGCGAATGGAACAGTCGGTGGCGGTGCCAGTGTCATTGCCGGCAACGCCGCTGGCCCCAAGTCGGAGGAGGTGCAGTCCAACGGAGGATCGGGCAATCGTTCACGACATTTCAAGCGAGGCAACGAGGTGATGAAGCGAGCCCGTTCCGTGGAGGCGCTGCTGTGTGAGAAGTCGCCCTGGAACAGTCAGCGGATCAGCGTTGCTGCACCAGCTCCTGTGGCCTCCTCCAAGGTTGCGGCCACATCCCCTGCCACCGCCACCGCCGCTTCGCCCACCTGCGTCACCATCGAGGACAAGATCCACAATGCCCGCGAGCGGCTGCACAGCGGCACGGATACGGCGCCGCCCAAGCGCCTGGCCTCCATAATCGATGACACTGAGCGTCCGCCGCCCGATCTTGTCAAGCAAACCCTGAAGATGTTCGAGGCAAGTGCCAATAGAAGGCCTCGGACCGCCCATCGCTCCAACGGAGTGGGCGGTGTGGCCAGCAAGGTGGCCAGCTACAAGTCGATCAACAATAAGTCGTCGGCGCCGGCGCCCAGTCTTGGCTTTGCTTCCTCCACGCCACTGCGTCCAACCCACGCCCATCCGGACATCATACCCCGCCAGGTAGCAGGTGCCCAGGATTCGCCCATGTCCACCCTCAGCATAATGATGCGACGCATGGATCTGGTGGATCCTGAGACGCCCGACAGAAAGGAGGCCACACCGCTGAGCGAGGCGCCGAGCGAGACTGAGCGAACCGAAGGCGACGAGGGTGATGGAGAAGCCACCGCCGATACCGATGCCGATCACGATCGCATCGACGATGACGACAATCGAGACCACAACAACGACGACGATGGCGACAGCAGCGACAACAATGAGCAACGCGATAAAATGGGCGCGGCGGCAGGCGATAAGCCTAAGCCCCCAGCGGAAACAACAACACCAACGGCAGCAACGACGGTGGCGGTAGCGGGAGGCGCCCAGCACCGATCATTTGCAAGTGCCTCGACGGAGAACGCGCATGTGGCCAGCGGTGGCGGGAGTGCAAGTGGAGTGCAAGTGCGCAAACTAAACAGTAGCGAATCCCAGCCAA